TATATATATATTTATATAACGATATAAATAAAGTAAATACTCTTAGCGCGACTAACTTCACATCGAACTGAACACTAGCTCGATATATACTACTAAAGCTCGTCCGCGGCTAACGTAAGAGTCGGAACTTTTTGCTCTGAACGTAAAAATTCTTGAAATGAAATCAACACTTTTCAAGAACGTATATATGATAAAACAATTAAAAAAGCTTTTCTGGTTGGGATTTTTTTTTCAAATCATAGTTTAGCATCAGAAAAGCCGAATAACATCACACTACTACATATATGATGATGTTAAATAATTTTTTTACCATTTCGAAAATTCAAAATGCGAATTTGAGCGGACATAGTGTCGTGGTAGCCATGCACCGTCTGCTACTCAAACTTGCATGTGGCGCTACCGCGCCACTTGATACTGTTTCTTGAGCCCAGAAATTTCTTATTCAATCCCCAGACGTAGGGAAATGATAGAGACTCAATGTAGTATATATACAGTGCTCTTCGCAGCAGTCAGTCAGCTCACAGCTAAATGTAAAGAAAAATGATCATTTTACACGCACTAGGTGGGCACGAGAAGTTTTACTTTGTACATTGATGTCAAAATTTTTTTTACCTACCTTTAGGTGTTTCCAGCACCCTCGATAGAAAAAATAGCATTCACCGCACAACCGACCTTCAATCGGGAATATCCTAAGGTCCCTTGGACCCTGCTTCACAGGTCTCTCGAGCCGCAAAATAGCCTCGGTGATGATGGCGCTTGTATGACAAATACTACTATTCTACTTTCGTACCTTTTTTTGTATGAAGAGCATTTTTCTTTCACGAATCGTTGTCAAAAATTGGCAAATAATATTTATAGGGATTGAAAAAAGTTAACTTTATAATAAAAATAATGTCTTCACATAATTTCAAAATTGAAAAGAACATACTTGAAAGCTTCGCTGACCATTTAACCCTATGTACCTCAATGTGACATTGATTACAAACTTTTAACTTTGTTGTTTTACGAACAAAATTAAAATTCAATGAAATTTCAGGTACGCCTTGTGGCTTACTACTACCTGGAAAATGACAGGATACCCACGCGACTGATACCTTACTGTATGACTGCGGACATTGCTGAAGAGGGCACCCGATCTGGTCATACTTATGAAGCAAACCAAAAAGGCTGTCAAAAAAATGTGTCGCTACAAACTCTCTGTCGACACCGAATAATTGTTGGAACCTGCTCAGCTTTTGGGTCCTTGTACAATATGGGCTGTAAGCCAGGATACTTCACTCACATATTTGTTGACGAGGCCGGGCAAGCTAGTGAGCCAGAGATCATGATCCCTCTTAGTTTAGCGCACAAAAATTCAAGCCAAGTGGTGCTAGCTGGCGATCCGAAACAACTGGGACCAGTCAATCAAAGTTGGCTAGCTGGTTACTTCGGCCTTAATAACAGTTTTTTGGTAAGATTGCTACAGCAGTTCCCGTATCAGAAGGATCCCGAAGGTTTCGAAACTGGATATGACCCACGACTGATAACTAAATTACTAATGAACTATAGAAGTTTACCGGATTTACTCTCCTTGCCAAATGAATTGTTTTATGAGTCTGAGTTAATAGCACAGGTACTGCATAAGTATTTGCACGTGAAAATGATAAACTTTTAACTACAAGTAGAATTTCATTATTTACAATATTCAAATAAATTTTTCAGGTACATCCTGTTGACAGCGATGAAGCCGAATTATTACATGGATTGGTTGATCTAGTGCCAAAAAGAATCGGAGATCCGCCATCGATTGTTTTCCATTGCGCAAAAGGACAAAATATGCAAGATAAAGAAAGTACAAGCTGGTACAACGTAGAAGAAGCTATACAGATTCACATGTACCTCCTAATGCTCTATAATAATGGGCTAAAATCTAGTGATATTGGAATCATTACACCATATTCCAAACAAGTATGATTTTTATTATAATAACAAGTTTAATTCTTCGAGTGCTAATAACTATACTTATTTATTTTAACTTAAAATTTATATAGGTGTACTTTATAAAAAATCGTCTAATCCAACATGAAATAGATTTACCCAAGATTGGAACTGTTGAAGAATTTCAAGGACAAGAAAGGAAAGTAGTTTTGCTATCAACAGTAAGAACTTCAGAAGAAAAGGTTAGAACCGACGTAAGACATTCTCTTGGTTTTGTAGCCGCACGGGAAAGATTAAATGTTGCCATAACACGTGCTAGAGTTTTACTTATTATTATTGGCCATCTTGAGTTATTGGAACAAGATTATTACTGGCGTAGCGTTATAACGCACTGCAAAGCCCGGAATTCAGTGACTGGTCACAACTTTAAATGAAACTTGACACTTTAAAACTATTAACTGTTACAAATAATCTTTCTTTATGAAGTTATGAATAAAATTTTTGTATACAATGTTACGAAAAAATCATGCAAATCAGCAACAGATTTGTACTAGATTTTTGACTTTTTAAAATATGTACAGTATAAAATAGCACTCTAGTAATNTCTGAAGAATGACTCACTCGTTTAATAATTTTAAAATTAGTAATTTATTATTTAACTAATATGTTGTGTATTGAAAATTTTAACGAATAATTCAGAATAAAAATATTACTTACTCATGTACTTATGAAGATTTTAAAATAAATACTCGTGAATATCTCAATAGATATCTTCAAAGTAAGTCACGGAATTACTACATGCGGCAGCGTAGGGGGCTCATGAAATTTTTTTTTATATTACAATCACGGAGAAGTTACAAGAATTTTACGTGATTTTGCGGGGCAGTCATAGGATGCTGCAAAACGATATATACAACATCATTGAACTTTGTTGTACTTACTTTTCAAATGTACAGAAATATTAAATAAAACAGCAAAAAGTTTGTTTTTTTGAAAATTCCAAACGCACTTCTATAGACGTCCAAAATTTTCCTTTTTTAGATTAGAATCTATTTTGACTCAATGATAACATTTTTAGTTTTTGGACAGTTCATAAAAAAGTAGAAAAAACTAGAGCACCTGAGTTCGCTTATGAATTTTTTAGATTATATTTGTGTCAATTATAAAATACTAGCTATTTAAATCTTACTCTATTTTTTACGATGGTGACGTCCTTGTCTTAGTGTAAAAGCTAATAATCTTAATGAAAAACATCAATATACATACTACGAAACGATTTTCTCCATTTAGACCATTACATTATGAAAACACAGCCGAGTACGTGTATGATGTGGGAAAATATATGTTTGACATTCAACAAAGGAAATTTAACTCCTTATCCTTGATATTACTCATAAGCAAAGTTATCAATTTAGTCACTAGATGCTACGCGCTTTCCTTACGTCCAGTGTATACGAAATACATACCTTATTTGTTTTGCATACAGTTTGGGCTTACATACGGTTGTACGAGTAGGGACCTTAGAGATATAATACGTAGAGTGGGGAGGGGTGATGTGATCTTGTTCCAGTTGTGCAGGGAAAGAAAAGAAGACAACAGTTGTCTTGACATTAGATTCGTTCAAGGCTTAGCTCGGAGGACCTCTGAGGCATCTAAAACTATGTAGCTCCATGTGTATTGAAATACCTATATTTTGGCCTCCGGGCGACGCTGAGCTAAGCCTCGAACGAATCTAATCTTTATCTCTCTCTCTCTCTCTCTCTCTCTCTCTGCTTTTTAATTATTTAAGAGCAGAGAAGGCCCTATGCTTTCTCTGCTACATGGTAAAATGGTACATGGTACTTGAAATTAAAATCGTCACTCACTGATTAACTAAAAACTGTACAAAGCTGTTAAATAATATCTATAAAAAAACTACCTTCAAAAAAAAGTATAAAGTTATGCAAGTTTGAGGTTATTGTCTCTGAAGGTATTTATAATCAATTGTAAAAAATTAATTGCAAATATAAAACACAATTAATTATAATATTAATTTTAAAAAATTATAACACCTATAAGGCAAGAACGAATTCTGTTTTTTCAATTTAAATGAAGAAATTTTTAATATCATATTAGGCATGAGAAAGCAGTGAAATCTAAAATTAATAGACAAATTTGAAGATAAATCAAATTAAAATATTTCAGAATATAACAAAATAATATATTTTTTAACAAAAAAAATTTCTTCACGAATAACTGAACAGATTAATAAAAGCAAAACATTTTTTACGTACATTGTATTTTTCGTTTTTAAATGAAATGATGAAATGCGAAAAATTTTTTTTTGCATTTATACATTCCGTATACTAATAATACAGTTTTAAGTCTTGGGAAGTAATGAAATCAACAAAAAAATTCAAGTTTTTCTTTAGTAACTAGTAGTAATTTAATTGAATATAATCAACCACTGGAATAATACGGTTATATCTAACATTACTCGTTAAGGATATTATATTGAATAATATAGTACGTATTACATAACTTGCCTGGACTGATTTTTGAGTTTTTTGATGAACAATCAATACCAAGTTTTTACAGATAACAGAATGTATAAAACAATGTTTTCGTATATTTCTAATTAGTTGATTATGAAGTCAATAGTTAATCACCAACCAAGAAAAAAATATTTTATTTAAATGTTATAATAAGTTATTTCAATTTGCTCCTCAAGCTTGCGTTTCGTTGAATGTACAGAAGAACAAATTCTTTGTAAAAAAACAACTGGAAAAATAAAAATTCAATTTGTACCCTGGTAGACAATTGACCATTTTGTGAGCATTTATAAAACGTTTTTTCTAGCCTTTTTCCAGAATTTTATATTTTGACAAAATAGCTGTAAAATGCTGGAAAAAGGTTGGAAAAAACATTATATAAATTTTGAAAAAATGGTCGATTTCTACCAGGGTACGGACTTTTTTTTTTCCATTTATTTTACGAATCATTGATTGACTTATAAGCACCATTGAAATGTTATTTAAAATTTCTTTTAAAATTATTATGATTTAGCAAAAAAATTATTAATAAACGAATTTCTACTAAATGCACGCTTAAAGGTACTTTATGAAATTAATAAACTAATCAATGATTAATTGTTATACAAGAAATTATCTATTACTGTTAATATGTTATATCTAGAACTCGAAAATCAGTCCCAGCAAGTTATGCAATACGTACTATATTATTCAATACAATATCCTTCACGAGTAATGTTAGATATAACCGTGTTATTCCAGTGGTTGATTATATTCAATTAAATTACTACTAGTTACAAAAAAAAAAAAATTAATTTTTTTTGTTAATTTCATTACTTCTCAAGACCAAAAACTGTATTATTAGTATATGGAATGTATGTATGCAAAAAAAATTTTTCGCATTTCATCATTTCATTTAAAAACGGAAATACAATGTACGTAAAAAATGTTTTGCTTTCTTTAATCTGTTCAGTTATTCGTGAAGAAATTTTTTTTGTTAAAAAATATATTATTTTGTTATATTCTGAAATATTTTAATTTGATTTATCTTCAAATTTGTCTATTAATTTTAGATTTCACTGGTTTCTCATGCCTAAGATGATATTAAAAATTTCTTTATTTAAATTGAAAAAACAGAATTCGTTCTTGCCTTATAGGTGTTATAATTTTTTT